CAACAGATATGACCTTCTTCAACTCTATGTCTGATATAATGATACTTTCTGTTGATATGTATGGATTTACCATGATCTCTTGGTTCTTCAGTCAAAACAACTGCTCCTTCATTATCACAAAATAGTTCCATTAGATCCAAATTAATGGTCGAAACTACTCTGAGATCGTCGATTCAATTCTTCAACCAAACCACTTCCTTTGATGTTTTACTCGCTGCTATGTATTTTGATTCACAATTAGAATCAACCACTGTGTCCTGCTTGGAACTTTTCCAAGTAACCGCTCCACCATATAATAGGAACACACGCCCTCAATTGACATTGCTACTCAAAGATAATATACATTTCATAACCTCTATCCTACAATGCTTTCTTTACCACAGTGAAATTACAATTTCCATGAATTGTGGCCTCTGTATATCAATGGTGATCGATTGGGAAAGACATGATGATAATGATGTCGGATTTGTTGATAATGATAACTGGTGTTGATTAATAACCGAAGAATTGGTGATGAGTTTGGATGTTCCAAATTTGGAATCAAAATTGATCATGATTCATCAGAAGCTTCTGTTACACTAGCAACGGAGATACCACCATTGTAAGATATCTACCTGATACATGATGCAACCTTGTTGCCTAAGAGACAAAAAATACATAACAAAACTGGACAAGAAGGAAGAAGAGAACATGGCAAAACAGAGGAACGATAAAAACGAGAATAAGAACTTAGCCTGCTGATTATACCTTGTTCATCAAGTTACATGTGAAATAATCACCCTCAAAACACACATATACGTAGGAAGTAACAAGGGATAAACAGGAGACAAAATATATTATGGAAGAGCACCTTTGATTGCAAAACCTACGAATCAAAACTTAAACTTAGAACAAACTACAAAAGCCTATTTATACTACAACATTAAAAGAAACCTTGTCTAATACAACTACTTGAAAACAAATCCTAATTTAACACAAAAACATAAAACAAGAAGATTTTTCCCAAATTACCCCTAGACTATATTTGTCTCAGATTTTGAATTACTCCAACAACCATTACTTGTTTCCCCGAGTTGAATACACAAAAATTGAAAATACAAACATATCTTACCTCTACAAGTGTTCTTCAAATTAGTCATTCTGTAAAATTCCCTTTCCCATTCTTCATGAAGGTTGGTGTCGTACCTGATTCTATATCCCAAAGTAAAATTCAGCGTAATTTTCCTAAATGCATGGATTTTTTAATGTTCTGCTTCTGGTATGATTGCAAACATAGTTTTTCTTCAATTTAAAAAAAAATTCAAATACCCTTGACTATTAAATTTATTTCTCATGTTCTTATGTTTTTCATTTGTGAATATACAATCTGGTCCATTGTTTTCCTTTAAATTTTAAAACAACTTCAAATGTCATTAAGTGTGAAATTCTTTTGGTATTTTGGTATTTTTAATTTTTTTTATTTGTGAATACACACTCTGCTGTTCAACTTCAAGTTGAACTTATTTTGGAAAATATTGTTTGTTTTAACTTAGGAGATGACACTTTCATTGTCATATTCATTAATGAAAATTTCAAGCATGATAATCTAATATAAGTTTCAATACTCCTCTGTCTGAAATAAGTTTATGCCTTTCCTGTATTAATTGAACATCACTATCCACGTGTTCTTGCGACTCCTAGATTTTTTTATTGAAACTATCAAAATATGGGTTTCTTACATCTCTATCCTCGTGTGCTTACAACTCTTAGATTTTTTTTATTGAAAGGATCGAAATATAAGGTTTATAATCTACATGATAATGGAAAGTTGGGTTACGATAGATAAGAAAATTGGGTTACTTTAGATAAGAGTTAAATGATATATTAGTATAAGTTCTCATATGAACAACTTTCAAATTCTTAATATCTAGGACACTTAAAAGGGCGGTGAAGAAATTTATTACTATTGAATTAGTAATTATTGGTTCGAATTGGTTCATTCTATAGTTGGCAATGACTTCTCCATTTTGTATAGAGCCTGAATAAGAGTCAAATTAAATGTAAAGAGTGTCTACATACAACCTTATGAACTGAACAAGAACCTCGTGAACTGAACAAGAATCTGATCAAATGTAAGGAGTCATGCAAGTGATGCCAACTATCAAGTGTAATACAATTACCTTTTCATGATCAATGCAAATTGAAATCATAATTTTTTTGTTAATTGACTTTTCATCAACTATTTTAATTATACCATATTTGAACATGCTTTGCAAGTGATGCCAACCAACATGCCATATATGTGGCATGTAAGTTAATTATCAAAATATATTTTTCTTTCCTCTTCTCATGCACAATGTGATATTGTTACATCATAAGAAACACAAAGTTATATTTTCATTAATTTTCAATAAACTTGTAACGAAATCTGTTTAATTTACTAGCATCAAAATTTTTAATATCATGAGTTCAACAACTATCTAATAATGACATAGGAAAAAAAAACAGATGTTGGTTTTAGTTTATGCATTTTTTCACTTTCTTTTTTGGTATCCATGCCCGGTGAAGTCCATGGGTAGACAACATAAAGGCATAGGGCCCATTCTTTTTATGGGGCTCATTTTATACTATATTGAGAGTAGCCCATGAATGTTAGTCCACTAATCCACTTGTCCAAGTCCACATTTTTAATTCGTTGATCAGTGGGAGTTGGGATTTGGAAAGTATGCAAGAATGCAATGCCAAAACCAGAAGTGATTGATCATTCAAGCTTCGACACTTTATCAAACATTTCAACGACCATCGATTAATTGGAATTACCCTCCGATTGAGTTTAATCGATCACTAATATGCTAATCAGGTAAGTGTTTTAATTTTACAGTCAAACACTCAAACCCGAATTGAACTTGAAGAATTGAGAATTGGTATCATAATTGTTTATTGTTGGTTGGTAATTTGGTATTTATACATAATTAGATTCGAGATTTACACTTTTAGTTTTTATATATATATATATATATATATATATATATATATATATATATATATATATATATATATATATATATATATATATATATATATATATATATATATATATATATATGTTTTGTCTTTTTACAGTAAAACAAGAAATCAAGAATATATTATATATGTTATCACTTATCAATATTCAGAATAATAGAATTTAGTCAATTTCATTCAACATTCATGTCTCTAGTTTGTTTTTTGTTCTAGACCTCGGAATTGAGTAATGAGTATTTAGTTTGTTTTTTGTTCTAGTATTCAGAATCCAGTCAATGACTATTGTCTAGCTAATTTATGTTATAAGAAATTAAATGTTATCAGAAATTAAATGTATTTATAATTTATATATGTTATCAGAAATTGAATGTTGAATTTGAATACTTTATGTCTTTATACTTGAAGGATTAGATTATCATAATCACTTTATCCGATTTATACTTGAATGATATTTGAAATTTGAATGAATGTTGATTGTTGAATGTTGAACTTTTAGTGGCGAAGTCTAAAAAACCATCTGGTAGTAGGAAAAAAAAAAAAAAAAAAAAAAAAAAAAAAAAAAAACTAGATGAAGAAAAGAGAAAGGTTGATGTCGGTGCTTTAGATAAATTTATCTATAAACTTGTTGAAGAGCACGTTGAAGAAAAAGATAATGATGTTGCAATTGTAAGTGAAGCAGCTTCATTAGCAGAAAAAGAACTTGGTGACTTTTAATTTTTGGTATCAACTGTTATTTGGTATGAAGTACTAAACCATGTGAATATTATAAATAAGAAGTTACAATCAAAGGATTTGCATCTTGATAATGCTATTACAGAAATAAACCAATTGATTGAGTACTTCAATGATTATAGAGAAACTAGTTTTTCAAAAACGATTGTTGAAGTTAAGGAGATTGCTATTGAAATATGTATGAATCCAATATTTCCACAAAAACGTTTGATTGTAAGGAAAAAAAAAGATTTGATGAGAGTTCAAGTAAGAAAGAAGTTTCATTTACACCTGAATAGAATTTCAGAGTCAATTATTTCATGTACATTGTTGATCAAACCATTTCTACCATTGAGACAGGATTTGAACAATTCAAAGAGTACGACAAAGTATTTGTTTTTTTATTTCCACGTAATTTGAGGGAAATTGAAGATAAAGATCTTAAACCGTATTATCATCGTCTTGAAAATGCACTCAAGTGTGAAGAAATATCTGATATTGATGCCGATTAACTTTATACGGAGTTGAAATTATTTGAGACGTTGGAAACCAATGAATTTAGCAATCTTATAGATGTTTTGAAGTTTTTGAAAGAACTTGATTATTTCCCAAATGCATGCATTGCATATAAAATATTATTGACTATTGCAGTAATGGTCGTATCTCCTGAAAGAAGTTTTTTAAAATTGAAGTTTGTGAAATCTTACTTACGCTCCACAATGACCCAAGAAAGACTTAGCGGTTTGACAATAATATATATAGCGATGATGAAATCTTAGAGAGTATAGACTACGAAGATTTGATCAATCAATTTGCAATCAAGAATGCTAGAAGAGCTTCACGGGTCGTTAGTTAGTTGTTACGATATGTAATTACTCATTAAAATACTATGATTTTGCTATGTTTATTGCTATAAAATTTATTATCATTTTAATAAAAAATTAGTTTATATAATTAAATTAGTTTATATAATTTAATTCGTTACACGTTAAGGCCTAAGAACTTTTTTCTTACCCCTTCATGAGTTTATCTTTAGTAGGGAGGAGCCCAAGACGTCCGAACTCATGAAAGTTAAAGAAATTATTTTAACGTTATTCCACAATTAACTTTCTCACTTCATGCCTCTCTCTACTTCCTGAAATCCCAGACGCCTGCATGTTAGTACTATTGAAACGGCTAGTGATTGAAATCCCAAAAGCCTTCTCGTTTCTAAGTTGCTATCAATATAAACCATTCCATATCACATCATCAAGACCTACCCTAAACCAAAAACCATTCTTACAAAAATGGCGGCCGAAGAATCAAAAATCAAGAATGTGGCTATTGTTTCCGATGACAGTCAAAGCAGCGAAAAAGAAGAAGAAATTAAACACGAAAAAGAAACCGATCTGGGCATTTCGTTGGATAAACTTAGCCTTGGTCCCAAAAAGAAACTGCTTGTGATTCCTCTTGGTGGCCTCATTGTTCACCGAGCTCACGTTCGTAACTGGGCCACCCTCCCAAAAAACCGCCGCCCTGATCTGACCTACGGAAAGTTTAAGGGTGAGTCTAAAATTCTAGCCATGCATATTTTCATTTGGTTATGAAGGTATAATCTAAATATTTGTGAATAACATATGTACGTTTATACAGTATACAAAAGGCCTTTTTGTGAAGAATTCTTGAGGTTTTGCTTTGAAAGATTTGACGTCGGACTATGGTCTTCTGCCATGGAGTTAGTATCCTTGAGTTTTGTATTATATGTCATTGATTGATTAATTGATCACTTCGTTAATTTACAAGTTTCATTGATGTTTCTTTCAGGCATAACATAGACAAAGTTCTGACCCAAATAACCGGGGAACTTAAAAACAAGTTCTTATTCACGTGGGTGAGTTTAATTAAACTCACTTCGATGCATGTTCATTTTTGGTGTCAAAAAAAGCCATGAAAACTCTTGAATTGTTGTTTGTTATTTACCCATACAGGATCAGAATCAATGTACTGTTGGTGATTTGTTATCATCAATGTTATTTAAGTGTAATGGGATTACTTTGTTGACTAAAAATGATCTTGATAAATATTAAACAAGTAAGGAAGGTGTGGAGTACACACTTGTTTAAGTTTGATCAAGTATCAAAGTACACTGTCATTTAAGGTCGAAACCCCTGAACAAACGGGGGTCCGGGGGCAGTGCCCCTGGGAGCGGGGTCCAAATTTTGAATATTTGAAAATGCATCAGAAAATCCAAATTTTGAATATTTGACCCGGTTTTGACTTTGCATTAATCGTTATACCAAACACGGATTTATAACAGTTTTGACTGTTGAGAAAACTGTTATATGACAGTTTTGACAGTTTTTCAGACAAGGAATGTATATAACCAATTTTAGTCAGTTTTCTGATACTCACGAAAATTACACCATCCCATTCTCTCTTTCTTTCTCTTTGATTTTATCTGAGTCTTATCCAATTGAGGATTTGAGAGTATCACCCAAATACTTCGATTTGAAAGTGATTATCACGATTCTCAGATTTCCAAGTGCCACTAAACCATATTTCTAACATGTACTAAGACAAGGTTTACGTGTTTTGGGAATGACTACAAGCCATTATTCTTGAAAGAACTTAAATATATATGGGAGAAGAAATACCCGAGTGGAGAATACTCGTCGTCCAATACGTTGTTGATCACAGACCCAGAAAAAGCCCTTTTAAATCCTGTATTATTCTATATCTTTAATTTGATATTTTATGTGTACGTATATGAATATAAAAAATTTGTCCTTTATTTTTATTCGATGGTCTTTGTTTAATTGTTTTGTTGCAGCCTAACACTGCCATATTTCCTAAGGAGTATGATATTAAGAATAAGAACGATGATTTTTTAGGTAAAGATGATACTGGTTGATTTATGGATATTGGTTTATATGTGTGAATTTTTTGCGATAATTAATATTGATCAGGTCCAAATGGGGAGCTAAGGGCATATTTGGATGGACTTGCTGACGCAATTGATGTTCCAAGTTATGTTAAAGATAATCCATTTGGGGAGGCTGCGATAACACCTTCACATCCTCGCTGGGATTTTTATTCGGGGATAATTAGTTCCGGTGGCAAGGAAGAAAGTAGTGATGACGAGTTTTGGGATTCCGACTGGAGCTATTAATGTTTTGCAGTTGTGGGTTTTGGAGCTTTTGGTAATGGCGTTTTGTAACTTTAGTTTGTTTTGAACGATGGATGTTTGGTTTTGGCATTACCAATATTCAAATAAAATAAACTAAATGTGTTATTAAGGTCATTATTATGAATATTTTATTGTTGCCTTAGTTTTTTTTTATAAAAATTATATATATATATATATATATATATATATATATATATATATATATATATATATATATAATCACGTGTTGTATAAATTTAATTGATAAAAAAAATCGAAGATAAAACAAACACCCTTAGGCTCACCATTTCAATATTTCACTCCGCAACGCCATATCATTTTCCTCATATCTTTCACGTCATTTTTTTGAAGTGAAATATCCACAAACATACAGCTCTAGCACTTCTAGGACCCCGGGCATGTGGGCGTGATGTATCCATGCATTAACGATAGCCACAACACTATGTGCTTGTACGGTGCTGGAGAACTGTATGACCTTATTAACCTTATTTGTTTATTGGTGCTAATTAGTTGTTGTCACGATGTTAAAACGTAGGCTACAAGGAATACCACCACCACACTCCACATCAACCCACTCAACATTTTACATATTTTCACCTTTGGAGGGTATACCTACAAGTTTTAGTACATGTTTAGGTTCTAATGCATACAAGAGAAAAGGAATGAGTTGGTGTAGTGTTGAAGCGTGGGAACCGAGCATCAGATTCAACATTTGTGGGCATCGAACATCGAATTGTGTTGTCGCGCTATCACTGAGGCCACATCACATCATCGTGCATGCACCCTCAATGGTAGTATGCCCCATAGCCTTAAAACCTATCTATAGTTGATTAATTTCCAATATTTATATATTTTATATTTTCTGCTAATTAGAACGGATAGAATACACTTGTATTAAACAAAAGTTTAAAAAATGTTTATGAACTTTCAATCATTGATTTAAATAAATATGTGAAGTTATTTCAGTTTATATATATAAATATATTAAACTACATGTATTATGGTAACCAAATAATTACGATGTTAACAAAACTACAAGTTTAGTCTATCTGTTATTCAAAAAATTTTGGATGGAGTCCAAAAACTTTCTCATTTGCATAGAAGGTCCAAAATCAAGGTTTTTCCTTATTTTTATTTAGTCTATGGACTACTTGAAAGGACGATTTTACATTTTTATTTTCTTTTTTCTATTTTCTATATTTATGTTAATACCTTTTTTATTTTAAAAGAAAAAAAACTAGTCCTACCCACCTTATCACTCCATCAGTAACCCCTCCTATCTTTCTCCCCCCCTCCCCCCCCCCCCTTCCCTCTCTCACACACACATACACAACTGCAACTCATAAAACACACCCACACCTATCACTCGATCCTTCATATTCTTTCATCATCAAACCCATCCACCCAAATCTTCCTAATTTGTTTAAAACTCTCATTGCTCCCTGTAATCTCTAAGGCACGAAATGTACAATCTTCACCGATCATAAAAGCCTCCAGCATATCCTCAACCAGAAAGAACTCAACATGAGACAAAGATGGTGGGTGGAACTACTAAATGATTACGAATGCGAAATTCGATATCATCACGGAAAGGCTAACGTGGTGGCTGATGCACTCAGCCGAAAGGAATACTTGGGCTGCCGAGTGAAGTCTCTAACTATGAAGATCCATTCACACCTGTCCATGCAAATTAAGGAAGCCCAAATAGAAGCCTTGAAATCCGAAAATGTGACGGGGGAAGCCTTGAGGGGAATGGATAAGAATCTTGAAGTCAAGAATTATGGAGTTTGTTACTTCATGGATCGGATCTGGACACCAAAGTTTGGTGGATTCAGAGAAGTCGTCATGAACGAAGCCCATAAGACACGATACTCCATACATCCCGGCTCCAATAAGATGTATTTGGACCTCAAGAAGCTGTACTAGTGGCCGATCATGAAAACCGAAATTGCTACCTACGTGAGCAAATGTCTGACGTGCGCCAAAGTCAAGGTGGAATACCAAAAGCCCTCGGTATTGTTACAACAACCATAAATACCCGAATGGAAGTGGGAGTGGATAACCATGGATTTCATAACCAAATTACCCAAGACGACGAGCGGACTCGACACCATCTGGGTGATCGTCGACAGGTTAACTAAATTCGCGTACTTCCTACCAATCAAAGAAACGGATAAGTTGGAGAAGCTAACTAGAACATACCTCAGGGAGATTGTACGGTTGCATGGTGTGCCAATATCCATTATCTCGGACCGAGATAGTAGATTCACCTCAAGGTTCTGGTAGTCGCTGCAAAGAGCTCTAGGAACAAGACTAGACATGAGTACTGCGTATCACCCTCAAACCGATGGCCAGAGTGAGAGAACTATGCAAACCCTAGAAGATATGCTGAGAGCTTGCGTAATCGATTTTGGCAAGGCATGGGATACCCATTTACCATTGGTCGAGTTTTCGTACAACAATAGCTACCACACTAGCATCAAGGCAGCCTCGTTCGAAGCCCTCTACGGTCGTAAGTGCAGGTCACCTCTGTGTTGGGCTGAAGTGGGTGACACACAACTAGCAAGAGGACAAGCAACGGACAACACTCTCACTGGGCAGAAATCATAAGAGAAACTACGAAGAAGATTGTTCAGATCCGGGAACGACTGAAGGCATCAAGGGACAGACAAAAGAGTTATGTGGATAAAAGACGGAAACCCTTGGAATTCCAGGTTGGAGACCGTGTCCTACTAAAAGTCTCTCCCTGGAAAGGATTAATACGTTTTGGAAAGCATGGGAAACTGAACCCAAGGTACATTGGACCATTCGAGATCCTTGCTAGAATCGGTCAGGTGGCTTACAAACTTCGATTACCTCAGGAACTCCACAACGTACACCCTACCTTTCACGTATCAAACCTAAAGAAGTGTTTGTCCAATAAGACTCTCGTCGTCCCTCTGGACGAAATTGCAATAAATGAGAATCTCCAATTCATAGAAGAACCAGTAGAGATCATGGATCGGGAAATTAAGAGAACTAAACAAAGTCGCATACCTATTGTAAAGGTTCGCTGGAATGCCAAGCGAGGACCTGAATACACTTGGGAACACGAGGATCAGATGAAACAAAAGTACCCGCATCTTTTTCCTAACTTGTAAACTCTGTCTTAGATTAAATTTCGGGACGAAATTCCTCTAACGGGGGATGATGTGACAACCCTATATTTTTCCAGAGCAATGTAACACTCAAAAGTCAAATACAACGAAACTATTTGGAATTAACGAAATTAACCTAAAAAATAAAGTTTTCAAAAATCTAAATTTGGGATGCATCAAATGTTAGATATAGTGCCAAAGTGTCCAAAAACCATAAAGAACGTTCAAAACGGGCTATAATGAAGAAATTATGACCGCTCAAATATTCACGACACACCCGGTAAAACATTATTTAACGTAAAAAGTGAAATTTCAATAAAATACATTTTTAGCCTTAAGTATCTAAACAAAAGTCGTAGAGTTCGTTAAACCGTAAACGCACATAAAAAGATCGCCCAAATTGGACCTCATATGAAGAAGTTACGAATTTTCTAAGTTTCGTAACAGCTGTAGAGGGCTAAAAACTCGAATTAAAAATCGAACGATATTTAGCTAATGCAACCTAAACGAGAGTTGAAGGTCTCCACAACACGAGTAAGATGATAAAAAGACAAACGAAAACAGACGTCGAATAAAGAAGTTATGAATTTTTAACGGACTTTAGCAGTGCCGGCCTATTAAAAACATAACATTAAAAATAAATTCAAAACTAGCCGACGGAGTCTAAATGAAAGTTGTAGAGAATTGTCTCACCTAGGCGTGGATATAAAGAACGCGAAAAACGAAGCCCATACGCGAAAGTTGCGAAATTTAGAAGATTGAAGCCTGAATTACGCCCAGCGTAATTTAAGAGTACCCCCAACATACTTAGGTGCAGTGTCGAGTCCTATCGGCTGCAGGCTCTACGCCTAGCTAGACTCGATTCGTAAGCCATGACGCAAAGTTACGCCCAACGTAACCGAAGTACGCCCAACGTACTCTGGTAGTACACCCAACATACTCACACTTTCAACCCTATAAATAGAGGGCATGAACTCCGGGTTTTGGCACACTTTTCTCAAACTGTCTCTCACTTTCACACACTTGTAAGCTCAAGAGGCCATCCCAACACCCTCAATTCCATACCCGAGCCCCCGATGAAGGTTCTACGCTACCGAGATCCCCGAGAAGCTCGAAGACACAGCTTTCCGCAGTTGAAGATTCTGCTCGACTCTAGTCTCACTTTCTTCAAACCGAACAAGTGAGTTCATACCCCTACTTTTCAAGTCTTTTCATGTTTTAGGGGGGGGGGGGGGATATAAGTACAATACAAGAAAATGTGTCATTTTATATAGATATAAATACAACTTCTATCTTATTCTTATTCGATATCAACATTTTACTTTACGTATCAAGTAGTATTTCACCGAGTTACTTTCACCAAATGGAACACACTTTTTGAAACAAAAACTATAATGGGTATAGTTTGTGAGTTATTCATACATTCTTACGTAAACATCTTGAAAAACGAAATACTTTCACCTGAAGGGAAATAACGACTTTCTTATCGTATATCTATTTATACTAAGCATTGTGAGATACTCAACTTCAACATAATCTCAAGTATGCATTTCAAGTCATGTATTATAAATCATAATCTCTTGGAGGGAGAGCGTGATACTTGTATATAGATCTATACGGGATTGACAACCTCACACCTAAATGTTAGCTACAGTTAGACCAGAAAGTCTGGGGTGACAAATGTCATAACACTATAACACCTGAAGAATGTTGTTACAGGTAGTCTGTGTCAATAGCATGGTTATAAGACTCACACAAAAGTATAAAAACAAGTTTGATTTACGAGACACATGAATGCATTCGGTATTTACATTATTTTGAGTAAAAAATTCATCTTTATCATTT